CCCCCAGCATCCAGAACGCCATAACCGCCGAGCACCGCCGCATCATCGGACACCTGAACTCGCATCAAGGACGCAAGATCGTCAGTAGCTACCTCATTGAGCCCCGGGGCACAGAAGAAGCGAAACCTCAGCCGGCCAACAAACTTATTTTGTTATTCCTGTTGTGTAAGTTAACTTCATGTCAAAATAAACGGTTTTCGTGTAAGACACTTGTCATCTTTGTCTCCTACCGCCACCACCCACATACGGTTTGACCCTAGGTTTTCCTGACGCGCAATTAACGTATTGCCCCCAAAATCGGCGAACTTACATTATTCTCTCACCCCGGAGATTATTGATTTTCATCTTCATTACGGTTTACAAATAAGCAACTAATTAACAATAACCTCTACTTGTTACGTGATAGAGGGTAACGAAAAAGGTCACTGACCGAACCGAACAAACCCCTTTCTATTACCTTCGATGTGAACGATGAGAAAACAGATCAAGATGGCCATAGAAGGCAACAATCATTACTTAGTCACCTCTAGCAATTAATTTCGTTAGTTTGACAACTGTTAATCAAATTTATGAGAGGGAAGAAGTGACAATACCGGTTAGAAAAAGTACTAAATCTACAGAAAGATCCGGATGTTTGACAGCTAACATAAACAATTCCGGACGAGTCGAAATTACATGGATTTGCATCAGAATGTTCCCCGATTTTCCTCTCTCCCAGGGTGACGTCATTCCTCCCCCTCAGCTGGGACACAGTCCTCCGGGCGGACGTTCACATCTGATAGCATCTGGGTACATCTACAGTGGGTGATCATATTATTAGAGCCACTTGTTAAAACTGACAAATAATCAGTAATACTGTAAACCTTTCAATACAAATTTCATAATTAAGTCTTATTGCTATTTTTTAGACTTAGCAGATACTTACACGTTTGAATTTAGTTGATTAATTTATTGCTGGCAACAATAACCATTAATAGGATGCCATTTTGCGATATCGTTGTAATTCAACAGTTTGTCACCGTTTGAGTACTATCTGCTTAATTCGTACTTTTTGCTTTAAAAACATTTTATTGACTCGTTGTGGGGGTAATATTGTTGTTAAGGTATATAATGTCTAATATGATGTTATAATGCCATTTTATATAAAAGTTTTTACAATTATGAGCTTTTTATCGTTTTTAGGTTATTTTAGTCATGGGGAAAGTTAATGACCTCACCCTTAAAAATATTAGTAAAATGAAAACTTTTATTTTAAATACTGAGCATTCAAATACACAAATTACATCAATTGCAAGCGTTTCAAGGGCTTCTGTTGATAGAATTAAGAAGAAATTCGACACTAATGTGGATTTAATTTCGAACTGAAAGGGGATATGTGGTCGAAAAAGACTACAACACTCAGAGAGGAGCGTCAAATAAGAAATATATGTAAGGAGAACAGGAAGACACCTCTAAAATTGTTGGGAAAAAAGATTCAGGATGCTAATATAAATATATCACCAATGACGACTCATCGTCGTCTTAAAGAACTTGGGCTCGCGTGTCGGCGTACAGCAAAAAAGGCCACTATGATGACAAAGCGATTGCAATGGTCCAAAGATCACAGAAACTGAACTGTTCAAGATTGGCAAAAGGGAANGCTGCTAATATAAATATATCACCAATGACGACTCATCGTCGTCTTAAAGAACTTGGGCTCGCGTGTCGGCGTACAGCAAAAAAGGCCACTATGATGACAAAGCGATTGCAATGGTTCAAAGATCACAGAAACTGAACTGTTCAAGATTGGCAAAAGGGAAATCTATTGTTTTGTACCAAATTATAAATTAAATGCCTTTTTTTTTATCATATTTTGAAGTTTTTAATGACTCTGCTGACTTTTTCAGGTTTGTTTCTCTGATGAGTCTTCGATTCAGATTCTGTCTGATAAATCAGAGTTTGTAGGGACTGTATAGTAAGAAGAGTGAAACACCCTGTAAGCATTATGGTGTGGTCTGTCATCAGTAGCCAAGGTACTGGCCTACTGGCAATATATGAAGGTCGTAGGCACTAAGATGCTTCCCCAAGTTGATAAATGGTATCAAAATGGTGACTTTTTGTTTATGTGTAACTCTTCTTCTTGCCACAAAACTAAAATAGTCACAATCTGGCAGATAAACATATTGTGGTTTTAAAATGGCCTGGAATGAAATCTTTGAAACGGTTTTGAAATGGCCCCAGACCATAATCCTATAGATAACATTTGGGAGCTGCTAAAGAGAGAAGTTTTCAGGGATCTTACACCATCAAGCGGCAATTAATATGCGTTTAATAGAAGTGTGGCACAGAAGTGACGAAATAAAAAAAATGCTTGAAATGCATAGAAATTATGCCTAGAAGAGTTGCAGCGGTGATTGCTGCAAAAGTGGTTCAACAAAATATTAAATATATTTTTCTACATTTATTTTTAGTTCTACAAATATAAATATAAACACCTGATTTCTACTTACTATTGAACACAAGACTGTGTTATTATTAAAACACTTGGCGTTTATTTACTTTATTCAGTTGATACGGGCACTTTTACACGTTTCGGGCGTATAGCCCCTCATTAGTTAACTGATAAGAAGAAACATTTACATTAGATTATCACATTCTTTAAAAATTATATAACGATTCTAAAACATAACATTTAAGACATACCATTTAAAAAATTTTTCATTGACACACGTACAGCACAAGTTATTATTTACTGCTGTTAGGATAAGTTGATAACAATGATAGCATAAACCTACATACATTAAATTAAAAAATAAAACACTGTATAATTATACACGCTTATACTGATAACGCACATAACAATACTAATTTTTGTGTACAATTGTTTCTTACTGTTAAGTAGCCGTGACACATCCTTTATCTTCTTCCTAAAGTTGATGAATATATAGGCAAACGGCTTCAAACAATGATATGTATTACTGAAAATTTTTCTAATATTCTCGAATTTATGCACGATATAAAAGAAATAGTGCGAAATTTTTTATCCTGACTTTTCTTTGCTCTTAATTAATCACTGAACGTTTTTCAGTGATAATTAGTCAACCAGAAAAATTGTTCGCCATTTCATTCATTTTCAATTTAATATTGTAGATCTTTAAACTACTTTAAGTTCTCGGGCTACGAGTTTATATATAAAAATCGTTGTTTAAAATATTAAAAAAAAATTTTTTTAAATACAACTTAGCAAAAGAGAAATTGTAAAAAAATATCAACAAAAAAGTAACAAGATTCTCTGTCATAACATTTATTTACTGAACTTCTCCTCTTCCCGGACATAGCGAAAAAATTCGGGATTGAATAACAAAATTGATCATCAGAATTTTTACACACGATGACTTGGAATGCAGACGAAAATTTTAAAGAAACAAGAAGTTATTTATTGTGACGTTTTCACAAAGCCGGACTGCAACTTTTAATCATATTTCTTAAAACTTTTTTAATTTAAAATATATGCTATGTGTTTTAAATTAGTAGTATCTTGTTACGCATCATTCTTTGTTATAGCCACAGTTTCTAACTCTTTACGAGGGAAAATATTAAAATGACGTGACTTCCCGTTTGTATTAAAAGTTCATATAATCAGTGTTTACTGCCCCTATTCATGACAAATCTATTTACCGAATTTATTTATCTAACTCAGTGCGAATTTACAAATTCTACATTTTTTTTTTTTATTAAATTGCAATCCAACCAAGAAAAGTTAGAAAAGGTCGTACAGTTCGGTGGTCCTCTCTCTCAAAATTTTGTTGACGTGATGTGGCAATATATCAAGTATTTTGCCACATCGCATCTCAATATTTCAGTATTAAACGTGATGTTATAACATTTTTAGCCGATTAAATTAATTTTCAAGGTGTTATATAAATGTTTGTTTGGAAAAGAATAAAATCACCCAGAAATCTATATTTGTATACAGTAGAATGAAATTTATGTTTTATTCCTTTTTCGTAAATTTACAAGGAAAATAATTTATGATTTATTAAGTTGTGAATTCACAATCTGCTTCCATATCTCCACTAAGAATTTTAAACAATGTTTCGAAATCGCTTTTTAATTTCTTGATAATATTTGTATCTATGTTTTCTAAAGCAGATTGAATATTTATTGCTAGAATGGAATCGATCAAATCACAATTTGTCAATCCAACACGACTATCGTAGTAAATAACAGTAAGACATTTGTAAATTTTTGCTGTAACATTTCTTTTAGTATCTTCTAAGATAAACCTTACTCTAGCTGCAGTTAGTATTGAAAGACATTGCACCACTTTGACTAAATTCGCCGTATCATTTTGGTAACAAACTTTCTTTAACAAGCACGATAGATATGTTACACTTGACATCACGTTACTTCCGCCGCCTATTTCATTTTCACAGCCGAGGGAAGGGAACGTACTCGAATCCAGACACTGCGGTAACCCAGCTGTTATATTCTGAAAATATCAAAAAAGACTAAAATTTAAAAAGAGAATCTCTGACTACTTTTCAAGATTTGGGCCTATAATTCTTAGTTAAATTAATAAAGAGAACTGTAAACAATAAATATACCTTACAATAAAATTTTATCAAACAATACAAGTGACTGTTGCAAGAATAATTAAATATTAAAATTTATTAATTAATAATCCTTTATCAGCTGTTAATTCAAAGCCTTTAGATAAATAATACAGTGAAACCTGCTTAGGCGACCACCTGCATTCGACGGGCACCTGCCAAAACGGGCAAAAATTTCAGGCACACGGAATAGTTTATCCATAGAGTCTTGGTATAAGTTACCTGTATTAAACGACCACCTGTGTAACGCGACTGCGGGCATCGATTTTTGATCCGTAACAACATACAACACCTGTAATAAGCGACCACTTTCGCGAATGTGTCTGGTCTAAACTATTGTAAGAACTCATCTCAACAACGTTTCCACCTCCTAATATAATGAATTAGTCTAAACTCTCGTTCGAATCCATCCCGGGAACTTCCCCACCCTCGAAATTAGGTGCAGGTGTTAATAAATTAGTCTAGCAACAAAGGAAATTCATTTCAGTTTGTTGGAAAATGTCCGAAATGCAAAGTGCTGTCGTTAGTTAGTATTAAAGTTATCACAACAGCAATTAGCGGCGAAATTTAACTATGAGAAAACAAAGTTTATTTTATTATATAATGGAGAAAATGCGAGTATTGTATTAATCTTTAAAATATTGGTATTAAATCTGTCTGATAATATCATGACGATTCCTGTAAATCGGGTTATCCGATAAGAATAAAATACAATACCAATATAGCCCTATCGTTGAAAAAATTCGCTTATTTTTGCTCGCTTCGAGTTTTGCTTAATAGAAATGGCTAAAAAGTGCGCAAAATACGTACGGAAATACGGTATTACGGCGCCACCCGTATTGGACGACCACCTGTCTAAAAGACCACTTTTTGAAGGAACCGTGGGTGGTCGCCATAGACAGGTTTTACTGTATTTGATTCTCTTTAAAACACGTAAACTATAATTAGAAACGAATTATGTTATCATAATTATCGTAAATTTTTTTATTAAGAATGCATTTTATAAATGAATGCGAAATAATGATTGTTTCAATTGTTTCGCCATGATTAACACTTTGTCGTCCTGAAACATAAAGTTACACGTGTCATAACTGTTTATATAGTATTTAGTAGATAAATGTCCTAGCTGCAAAAATAGTAAGAACAAACCAAGTTTCTATAATAAGACTAGTGCAAATTGAAACGCTATATAATATTAATTATGTTAATTAAGAGTTTTTACTTACAATAAGTGCTACTTTCACCTCTTCATTCAATTGAGGGAATAAAGATTGAAAATCAAGAATTTCTTTCAGAATATCTACAAATGTTTTGACCACACAATCTCCGGGTTGTTTTGGAATTAAACCTTAAAAATAAATTACAAATAAAGAATAAATATTAATGTGGTGAAAAAATATTTAAAAAGAACTAATTTTACTAATCTAAACACAAGGAAATCAATAAATAAGTACTTAAAATGAAAAACGGCAGCAAAAACTTCATCATGATTCTAACTTGCAACTGTAAAGCAAAAGAGAATGCTTAAATGAGACTTAAATTAGCAATGACAAATTATCTTCTACGACACTAATTTATATATTTTAATATGTACAAGTTGTGATTTGACGTCACATAGATGAGCAGCGCGATATTTGTACCTGTTTCGGTTGTAAATTCTACCCACGTTCTTTTCAAAATATTTTTAAAGTTAACAAATAGAATTAAGAACTCGCTTGATCCTTATTTAAATTTCAAACTTAAGAATAAAAAATATTGATACAAATCTACATTTACCGAGGAATTTATTTTAAAACAGTCAATTGTAACTAACTTTTTTCCAATCGGAATAAATAATGAATTTAAATACATAATATTTACATAATAATGTATACTTTTTCTCAAGGAAAATCAGCCTATTCGCTTCTATTGTTTTTTAATATTTAACATGTGATTTATATCATCAACGAAAACAACTAGTAATAGTAATAATTTAGAAACTGTCAAATTAAAGAATATTTTCACGTACTGTACATTTCGGTATTTGTGTATTAAAATTAAAACAAACGATACAAAGCCTAAGTTCGTATAAATTCGATTTTCTAAATGCTGAACCCTTCGTTAACCGAAGAACTAAAGTGAATTCTAAGGCAAAAAAATATATGACATTCGTTTTATCCTCTTCTGTTTCCGGTTATTTAAACAAGATTTTTCATGGAAAAAGCAAGAAAATTCGAATTGTTAATAAAGAAAAAGGTAAAAATTGACTATAATAAGCGAAATATAATTTTCGAGTCTATAATTTTATAAAATAATCCATTTTTAATTTACATTTAATCTGCATTTACAATGCACTACACGTCAGCAATAGCAACTGACATATGACAGTGGAGAAAAGAGAATAACAAATAGTGTTAAATGTGAAAGTAGTTAAAAAGAATTTTTCATAACTATCACATAATTATTTAGAATTATATAAAATCAGATACAGTTGAAATTATTTAGTATATGCAATAATTAACATAAGAAATAGAACTGCATAGTAAATAGTTACAAGAAATAAACAAAGCAAAAAAGACAAATTAAAACTAAAAATGTATATCATACTTTTTCAACGCGATTACTTGTATATTGAAAGAAATAAACAGTTTACTTGCATATAACACAAAAATTATATTGAAAAATAATACGAATAACTAAAACTTTTGTGATAAAAGTCGATGCTGCAGTTTTCACAGGAAAAAAGTTAAATATCAAATAACAAAGGCAAATTTCATTTTTAGCTGTTTAAGCTTTGAACAATTAATTAGCATGTTTTACTTATAATAAGTAGAATCTTTTACTTAATTGTGATATATTTATAGTTATTATTTAATAAACTCTAACTAAATACGAATTTACGAAAAACACTTAGATTAAGTTACAATTGAGCATAATGTATTTTAACTTAAATCGTGTCTTCCACATTACGTTAATTTTGAACAAAATTCCGAAGATTAAAACATTAAAATATAATTATTGACGAAAAAGCAACTTTAAGCTAACTTCAGAACTGATTGTCTTTTGCAATTGACAGGTGTTATTCTATTGTTTTCCGAACAACTGAAGCCGAACTTATGAATAATTAATGGCTTCTATGTTTTGTTTAATATTAATTGTGAGGAGCTGGACAGGAGAGGTGACTTTCCCAGGAGGGCTTTTTGGTTTAAATCTTTATTGCAACAATTTAATAATATACATATATTTTATTAAATATTTTTTTATTAAATTTTAAAGTAAAATAATAAAAGATAAAGGAGGAAAACAACATCCTGAAAAACGGCTGACTCACTACTTTTACTTTTATAAAAGAGAAATTTAGTTTCCTTTATTTTACAGCTTAATTTAATTTTCTCACATCATCTGGCCGATTGACGCATCTGATCTTCCCGTCAGGTGATGAATTTCTCAGGTGGCGATTGGGGAAAATTCAGAACAAAAGGGCAAATTAACACACACTCGGGGAGTGCCTCAACGAGTGATCAGCTCTACATCTCTTCACTCTTTACTCCACTCTCCGTACAGTTCCTGATATGTCCTACAGCAGATATAAGAAAGGAAGATGTCCATCGAGGTAATACGATTTGATTGTAAACTCTCTCTCGGTGAATAGGTCACATAGGTTTCATATAGTACAAATTATTGTATTATATTTCTTTCCTTTGTTTTATCTTATTAAATTGTTGATTTTGAATTTATTAATAGCCTCCTGTGTATCTTCCTATAATTTCCGACATCTCATTCAACAAACTCGAGACTTTCTACTCGAATTCTTTTAAAATTAAGCCATCCAGTGAGAAAATGAGCGGATCTCTCAGATCCGACGATTAGAGGGCCTTGACTCCTCGTCTGTATTCTCACATAATTATTAGGTTGTGTAAGGTCGCCGACTCTTAGGGGCAATACGTTAGTTGCGCGTCAGGAAAACCTAGGGGCGAATCGTATGTGGGTGGTGGCCGTAGGAGACAAAGGTGACAAGTGTCTTACACGAAACCGTTTATTTTTGACAAAATGTGTTAACTTACATAGTATCAATAATAACAATTAAGAATGTTGGACGTCAGCTGCTGGTGGGTGCCCCGGGGCTTCCTAGAAGAAGAGTCCGACGGAGAATGGGCGATGTCCGGTGTTCGGATTCACACGCCCTTCTTCTTAATAGGCGGAGCAGCTTGGACGGTTGTGGCTGATAAGTGCACGAATGACCTGGAGTCTTCTCGGCACTCGTCTTGGGGAGAATCGTCCTCCTCGTCCTTGAGATTTGGGAATTTTATAAGATTTTCCCCGAATATCACCCTTTTGATTGGTTCCGTTCACTCTCTCCCTTACCCCGATTGGTCATTCTTTTGTTTTTAGGCGAAACTCGACACCGATCCGGGTCGGGAAAAAGTCGGAGAGGTGATAACGGAGTTTTTCAAGTCCGCGCTCGTATTTTACTCCGTTGTGGCCCTTTTCTGTGACATCTTTGAACTTAAACGGTCCACCAGATGCCCTTTTGACCATTTACCCCCTAACGCGTTCGTGCTTAACAGATGTCCCTTTGTCATTAACTCCCTCCTTTTCTCGATTGTTTCGACCCGACACTTGTTCGCGAGCATCTGGACAAAGCTCTCTCTCCCTATCGACACTCTCCTTGCTGTTTATCATCCCGTCGCGTTTGTCTTACAATACGTAAGAAAGTTTTCGTCCCCTCTGGGTTCTGTCATTAACACACCCTCTTAACCCGATTATATCTTCGAAACTCTCGGACAAAAGTTTCGTAATTAGTCGCAATTTCGACGCGCTTTTACGACCCTCACAGTTGCAATATAAGAAATCTTATAGCCTTGGTTATTTATATGACTTATTTTAATGGTGTAGTTCCTGATTAGCAAATAGAAAATAACTTACTTTAAAGCCAAAACAAAGTATCTTTGTTTACACAAAAACAGAAACGACAGCAGCATAATAATTCTTAATAATAAACGTTTTTGTAACTCTTTTTGGGTTCTTCTTCAAAGTTACTAAATTCAAAAAATAAACTGGATCTTCCAGAATCATTCATAAATATAAATTCAAACATAAAATCGAACATTAAGACAAAGAGTTCGAATAAAGCAAACTTATGCTCATGCGCTCTTTGTGTCAAATTTACATATGAAATACTCGTATACACGCGCGCGACCAATCGTAGGATAAGCAATTGTTATTTACTTTACTCTTATATGTTTTTATTTTCTCCATACTTAATGCTATCATCGGATTAATGGACCGTCTTAGTTATTCTTGCCTCATCCCATTTTACATTCTCTTTAGCCGTTTGTGCCATAATTGACAAAATGGTGTTGTTATGTCCTCTATTAACGTCATACTTGTGCTCTCTTATACGTATTGCCAAGTTTCTTCTTGTGACAATTACGTAATCCTTTGCCACTCTTAACTGCTGATTTTCAAAAGGAATTTTATAAACCCCAACCTTCTCCCGCATTCTTCCTTCGTCCGTATTATTTCCTAGCAATTTATAGATGTTTGGCGCTCGTTTTAATACAGTTTTCGTGTTTTATATTTACATAATTCCTTCATTACTCCCTCTACATTCCTATTATATGTGAATTTATTAATCCTATTTTATCTATTATCACGTCTGCTTGCATCTTGTCTGTAACCCTTGACTAGTCCGACAATTGTAGGTGTTTTGTATTTTAAGCTTTTAGCAACCTTCTTAATTCTGCTAATCCCCCTAAGTCGATCTTGTACTTTGGTGCAATATAAGAATGCCCTTTTAATAAGCGCCTTAAACGCTGGCATCATATATCTAATCGGTTCATTGGACCATGATGGGATGTACAGTGGATAATTACATTATAGCTAATCTTACCCGTTTTCACAAAATGCAAGAATTAGGTCCCCGTTTCCAGACTAATTAGAGAATTTTTACGTCAAATCAAACGAACTATTTTCAACGTTTCTGGAACGTTTACAATAGTTCTATAATTGAACCAATATTCGAATTTTATGTTCGAATTTAATTCGAACAAATTCGAACAAAACATTCGAAAAAGAAAGCCACTTTCAACCACTTTCAGCCTCATATCTCCTGCACCCTTACAGCTATCGAGACGCAACCACAACTATGCACGAATGGAGACTTGGGGCTACCACCACATACAAACACCATTCACGTGCGATGTGTAGTTTTGGCGAAAAAGTAAAATATAGGGACATACATGTCTATATATATATAGTCTATATATATACATATATATATATAGACTATATATATATATATAGAGAGAGAGATGGATTAATTAGCTTAAAAAATGTTATTTAAAAATTGATAATTATCGTTTGGGTAATCTATAGATATATATAAAATGTCCTGACTGACTGACTCACTCACTGATTCATCATCGCCCACAGCAAACCGCTGAACCTAAAGAGATGAAATTTGGTAGACAGTTAGGGTACGTCATGAAAACGCTCACAAAAAAGGGATTTTTCGAAATTCCCCCGCGGGGGGAGAGGGAGAGGTTTAAATCTTAACCGGAAAAACGGCTTGTATTGTACTATTTTACATGCGATTTTTTG